TGAAAGGGTTCTTGTGTGTGTAGGGGGGCCCTACATGGGCATTTTTCCTGGTGCTCTTCTTATATTGTGTGCCATTATCAGAGAATGCATGACCCTCTCATGCATTCATGTCTGTGTGTTTTAGTATCCATTGTAACATCCCTTACAGCTAGGTCCAGTTCTTGTTTATCTTCCTGTAGTTCCATGTACATAGTAGGCACCCCATGAATGTTAGGTTGGAAAACAAATTTACAAAAATAATGCTTTTTAATGAATAAAGCTGCTAATGTTTTTGTTTTGTCTGTACAAGATATTACCAAGATTCCTTACTTTCATTCTAAGAAAGTTTCAAAAAAAATCAAGTTTTGACATTTTTTATAGGAAATGCTAGAAAAGAGGCAAATGGACATTTGAAATCAAGATGCTTGATATCCATTTCCTTCTTTTTCACTTGACATTTCAATTATGTTTAAATCATGCTGGAACACAGACCACCAAGATCAATTACTTTCTGCAGGTAGTACAGGGACAAATGACAGGGCTTTGCCATCCTTCAGCTTAAGCTGGAAATTTCTGGAGCAGCAGGAGAAAACATTTATGATCATTGCATAGAATGATAGACCCCAGGGATTAGAGACTTCATCAGGGTTACTAAAATCCCTAGTTTTCTGGTGATTTTCTCCCATCTTTGGTCATTTTGATGTGTAGTCTAAGAGAAACTTTCCCCAAATCTCTGCAAATAATTTGTGGTTATATAATTGGAAGTCATGCAACATAGTTTTCCTTTTTCATCTCTAGTGATGTTCCATTTATGCTTTTGCCTCAGCTCATCAAAAAATGTAAGGGCTCTTATCAAGCTCCCTTTAAATAGGAAAGCCTAATTTGTATTTGAATATATTATATATTCTTTTGCCATGTGGAAGCCATTGCTCATTTATTCTTCATAGAATCTAAAACAAATTACACTGGAACATAAGAATGTGAACAGTCTCTTGTTTGCCTTGCTGATAATTTCCCCAAAATTATAAACCGACTACTAAAATTCTTGAAGGCTTTCTGCTACCAGCTGGTTCTCCTTCTTATCCTAGGATGTCTAAAAATGGTAAATCCAGATGTCTGTTTTGGGGACAAAGATGCTAAAATAAACATACATTGGTGATAAAATTTTGATGAACAAGGAGCATCATCTCAGAACATATATGCATTCAGGTGTCTTTTTCAAACTAATATTTTTTTCATTTCAAAAATACTTTCTCCCTGAATGATACATGAAGGACTGACCCACACTTAGCAGTCTGAGACTGGAGGCTGACAATGATCAGGCAAAGGAGTCTCTGATTTCAACATCAGGAGACAGCAGCCTGAAAAGTGTTCTCAACTTTGGGTAATGAATGCTATTTGTCTTACCCAATCAAACACAACCCAAAGTGGGATCTTGGTGTTTAACATCTTATGCAATTCTAACACTAATTGGGTAGCATAGATCTTTTTGCATTTATAGCATTTAGTCATTTGTGATTAAGAAATACAATTTGATAATATTTCTGAAGCAATTAAATCAGTTAGGGAAAGAGATTACTGATTCATTCTAAACCATGACAGATGAGAAACAGGTTTTCTTTCAGGTAGTATATGTTGCAGAGAAATGGAGAAAAATACAAAAATAAGAATTTAATTGCAGTTGTCTCTTGGTTTATCCAAACTCATTTGCATTGTGATAGATAAGATCTGTCTTTTTCTACCTCAGGTAATCTCTACAAAAGCTAATCAGATTTGCCAATTATATTTTGCTTCCAAATTGATTCTCTTTTCAAATTCATGTTCTTGGAAAGGAATTTAAAGAAAACAGAAGGATCACAAAAGTTAAAACATAAGGTGTGAAAATTTTACTCCAAGATTTTAAATGAAAAAGTATATAGCTGAATATACACATTTACACTCCTTTGACCTGTCTTGTTTAAAAACCTATAAATTAACAATTTTAAAATCTTAATTATATCACCAAAGTAACTGAAAAGATACTGATTCAATCCTCAAATAGTTTTCATAAATAGGATGTGTATGTTTCCTATATCTAATTTTATATGTACAATGACACATTTGTTTATATGAACAGTTATATTTTTATATTTATAGTGAAATATGTCCAAATATGTTGGACTTTGTCAGAAATCAAAGAAATCCTTCCTGGTGTATATAGTCTAGGTGAACCAGGTCTTCTTTTCAGCAAAAAAGAAAGCACACTACTGCAAAATAATGTTCTTTGGAAATGATTTTTAAAATTGGCTGCACATATGTGGCTAGACAATTTCCTTTCAAGCTAAATAAACATGATTAATTCTGGCAGTTATTCAGATGGCAAAGGAACATTCTGACTTAATTTATCATGATAAATTTATCACTGCTTTCCTGGAGAAGGAATACATTTTTATCATAACACACTTTATCTCTCTCTCTTTCTCTCTTTTTCTCTCTCTCTCTCATATCTATATATAGAGAATCTGTATATAGAATATGTGAATAGACAGACATGTGCACACACACAGCTTCAGGCTTCTACTTTCTTAAGCATTGTAAATATTAAGGTTTGGATTTAAAGTTTCAAAATATAAAATTATATTTCTTATCTCTGTACTAGTTTATGTACATACTTCATATTCTTTGATAATTAGCCATAGCCATGTTCATATGTTTATGCAGATTCCATATTGTGGGATTGTGGTTTCACATATTTCAACCATAAAATAATTAGAGGTAGGACTGCCAAGTTAAAAGGGCATGGTGTTATGAGTATTGATTTTGGGAATGGGGAAGATGGCCTCTATGGGGAAGGGATCCCCATGACATAGGGATCTTCAATTTGGACACTGGTTGCAACCAGGAATACATTGGTTTTCTCTTTATTGGGATAGAGAGAAAAATAAAAAAATTATAATTCAAAGAGGAAGCTGGGCATACCTTTAGTGCTTTTAAATATTTAAAACACAACTTCATTGAAATACTTTATGAGAAATACTGAAGCACATATGTCAAAACACATTTCAGTGACTTTCTATAATATCCTAGAAAGAATCCTAGTCTAGGATTAAGGTATGTTGTGGTCTTAGAAAACCATTTAACTTCTCTGAATATCTGTCTACTATGTTAAACTATCTAGTATACCTCCCAACCATTAAGATGTATCAAATTTCTCCCATATTAAAACAGGAACAGGAAGGGCAAATTTATGGGAGACTTGAACATTTTCAAGACATACAACCCAAGATAACAATAAATAATAGACGCTAAGTTCCAGCTTTCATTATGTATAGACCTAGGAAGCCTGAAATGTGGAGGTAAACGGCTTATTTTTTCTTTAACATTTTAAAAGGAAACTTGCATTCTGAATGCAAATATGTGTCTACTTTGTAGGAATACAATAAAATAATCTGCAAACATTAGGAAGCACAAAATAAGCCAAAGCTAAAAACTATAAAATTCTTGTTTATTTCTGGAAAAAGACATATTGTTAATTTTAAAATGTGAGGAATATGGATAATTTTTTAATTAAAAAAAGGCAGAGGTTTTCTTGGTATCAACTCTTTAGGCCTAAAACCGTTGTCCCGCTAGAAGCCCCATGCCTTTCATTATTCCTTAATTCAGATATTTAGGTTCCTGAACTAATGAGGTAAATCTGCTCTATGGCTCACCTGGAGGGCTGATCAGCTGGCAAAGACAGAGTTAGGATGGAAAGAGGAGGGGTGGTGTTGAGCTAGAAGGTGAAGTCTCTTTACTTTAAGGAAGGCTCGATAGGAGAGGTAGAGGAGGGAGTGTCCTGTGCAGTAGGTCAGCTCATCTGTCATTTTTTGGTAACTATATGCTCACCCATTTATTAGATTGACAATAACTTCTTAAGGGTGGCAATTTTGTTATTTTCATTTTTTATCTCAGCGTATGACATAGTGCAGGGCACTTGCTGGACATTTATAAAAAGCATGAATAAAAGATCCCCAGCTCCTAATTTTGTGTGGTCATGAAAACTGATTGGATTAAGTTCTTTAAAAACGAATGACTTTCTTGTGTTTTCTTCGTTAAACTCCTGAATACTTTGACATGCGTTACTTTGATCTGTATATCTGCAAGAATGCTTGAACCCCAATAGTCATTGAGTAGGAACTCAGATTGGAGGAGGCCTGTGAAGGAGTCCTTCAGGGTTGAGGGCTTTGGACTGGTGAAAGCAGCATTAGACAGCAGATGAACCAAGGTAAGTACATGGGGAGGTGACTCAAGAGGATTTCACAAAAAGACCAGAGAAGCTACCATTACAGAGACTTTTTTTTTCCCCCCTAACTTTCCAAGCCAGGCTAGAGGGACCTAAGAGCACTATCCATCAAATGTTTTTTAACTGTATTTATTGTAGTATTGGGGATTGAATCCAGGTGCTCTCTACCACTGAGCTATCCTTTATTATGAGACAGGATCTTGCTAAATTGCCCAGGCTGGCCTTGAACTTATGATCCTCCTGTCTCAGTCTCCGGAGTAGCTGTAATTACAGGTGTGTGCTACCATACTGGGCTTCACCAAATGTTTTGTACAGCAGCTTGGTAATGCTGGAGTTTTGAAGGCAAGCCTGGAAGCTGCACATCTCAGGTGTACTTTGTTACTAACCTGCACTGTTTGGTCCAGATTAGCTGTGCTTCATTTATTGTAACCCCATTCTTGCTTTTCCTTATTTGGAGGAGAAATGAAAGAAAGAGAAAAGATGACCACATCTACAATCTCCTTTCTTCCCCTCACTCTCTTATCAGTGTAGTCTGGTACAGAATCCGTGGAATTTGTCATTTCATGGGACATTTAGGGTCTGTTCCTCTGATTTTCCCCCCCACTCTCCCTCCATATGCATCACTTAGACAATTTGTGCATAGCTGATTCTGATGTGAGGTGTTGGTTGAGCTACTGGAACACTCATCTCACACCCTCTTTTCCAAGCATCAAACACAAGCTTTGCCCTTGGGTCTACATGGGCTGCAGGGGTTACCTACCCGCCTTCTTCTGAATATTTATGCCCAAATGCCAGGATGTCAGATGCCCGTCCACTGCCATCACAGACCACCACAGGCACAGGAGGCGTGTCTCGGAGGTACTCCAAAACGATGGAGATCACATTGGGGCCTCCTTCCACGATGAGTGCCACCACCGGAACCCCTTGTCCGATTCCTGCATTAAAAAAGGAAAAGAAAAGGGAAAAAAGAGAAAAGAACACAAAGCCAGCAAACCAAAGAAACAAAAAGAGAAACAAAAAGCAAAAACTAAAATTACTGAGCACAGGGGAGGTGACAACATATGAAGGGATAAAATATTGAATGAAAATTTACAGAAAACTCATTAGCAGAATCCCACCCCCAGGGCATCCATCTGACTTTGCCCTCTCCCCACAGCTGTCCGGATGCACAAGTCAGCTAAGGCACCAATTACCCTACTTTGCAGCGGGGAGCCTACGGTGAGGGGAGAGAAAGGAACAGGTTAACAGAAAAAGCACTGGGCCAGCAGCCAAAAGATTCGAAGCTAAATGTAATCCTAAGCAAGTCTCTTATCTATCCAGTAGTTCCATTTCCTATATAAAAAAATGGCAAGTTAAAAATTGCCACCCTCCTGAAGTTATGAGAGCGATAAGAAAATGTTAAATAGTTCTCTTTATTAAAGACTTTGAATATCTGCAGAATGGTTGTTGAATCAACTGCTGGCTAAATTGCAGGTCTAGCATCCTGACCACAGGCGATCAGCTTGATTACTGGTGCTCAGCAGCACGGTGGTCCTAACTGATTCCCCAGGAGACACAGCACCTGCCACCGTCAAATTCTTCTCTACTGAGCAAGGCGCCAGGCACGTGATCAGTACACATTTGGTGAATTGAGTTGAATTAAGGGGTTTCACAGATCTTTCTGAAAATCTCTAAGCTATTTATTCCAAGCCATGGCACATTGCTATTTTTAGGTAAAAATATTCTTGTATCAGTGCTGCATGTGTAGTTCAAGCTAACGTATTAAATGGAAGCATTAAAAATGAATGTCTGATGGGACTAGGGTTGTGGCTCAGTGGTTGAGCACTTGCCTAGCATGTGTAAGGCACTGGGTTCGGTTCTCAGCACCACATATAAGTATATGAATAAAATAAAGGCCCAACAAGGTCTAAAAAAATTAAAAAATGAATGTCTGACATACATGTATGATATGTCAGACTACACTCTACTGCCATGTATATCTAAAAAGAAGAAATTTTAAAAATGAGGCACAATGAGACATTAAATTCATTTTCAAGTGACATTTCAAGTATCATCAGCGTTCACTGATAATTCCCTTTTGTTCAGTTTGGATTTATACTGTGTTTTCTCTCCCTATGTCCTCAGAATAATTAGGAAGTTGAGAAGTAACAGAAAAATTAGAAGGTCATCTTAAAAGTTCTCTTAAAAAGATAAAATTGAAATCTTGCCACTTCTGTAAATATGAACTTAAAAAAACATCAAACCTTTGGTCACCTGGTTCTCCCTTAGTCCCTTTTGCTGTGGTTTTATCTTATATCAAAAAAACTGCTTCCCAGTGGCAAATAATAGTTTGGGATTCTGTTTCCTGCTCTAGAGATCTTATTTGACTTATGTGACCTGTTTTACTTTTAACATCTGAGTACTTCAGTCTTGCAGGGCTTTATCTACTCTAAGTTAGAAAATATTTTTTTTTATTTGAGTTTCATTTTAAGGGAATTTTCCAAATGCCAGATACACCAAAATGGGTGCTGTTCAAATCTACATTTTAAAAATATAAATAAAAGGATGACTGTTGATTAAGCCAAGATTTCTTTTTGTTCTCCAGAAGGAACCTGGGGAGAGAAGTGACCTAGGGTCCTGTTAGTCTTCTTGGATGGTGAGGTTTTGAGAATTATTCCTTCCAATCCAAGTCAGGGAGTGAAAGGTCTTGCTGCTCTGTCTTGACCCAGGATCCCTTAATGTCTTGGACACTAGGTTTCTCTCAAGATCTGGGTATGTATGAAGGGGATACTTTTGCATTGCTGCTGACCATGACCACTAAGTAAATGGAAGTTGCTCTGAAGATGAAAAGCTAAGTTGAAATGTTAGTAGAGCACACCTCTTCTAGGAGAGAACTTGGTGTCCTAAAAAATATCCACCCATATAGGGATTTGTATTTCTTTTCATATACTTTGGAAAACAATACATCTTTTCCAATATGAAATTCTGATATGAGGTATTTCTCAAAATACTATATATACTACTTTATTTCTCCCTTTGCTTTGCTTTAACACAGGCTCCTATGCCTTTTATCAAGGAACAATATGCCATTTTCCTGTTTGATATAAAACCGATATATCTACATTCATTTTAGGATCTCCTCCAAAAAATTTGCCCAATTCTGACTCTTGAGCATGAATTTAGTGGGACTTTAACTCTCAGACCAAGTATTATCCACTCTGTATTCTCAAGGAGAAAGAAGTCCTAGAATGAACTTTCTAAAATGTTCCAGTTAGGGTCTACAGGACAGCAAGCAAGATGGCTGGAAAAGTCCTCTCTTTGAGAGGGTTCATCCATGCAAAAGATCGACTTTTTTTTTTTTTTTAAGGCTAATTTGTATGACAGTAATAAACTGCCAATTTATCTCCTGCCAATATATTTGTCAATGTTGGAAAATGTTATAACCTCTAGAAACATAGAAGCATTTTCAGGTTAGGATTTTCTGTATTGGAATGAGACTGATTATAAAATAGAACAATTAAAGCAAGGATATTAATACAAAGCTCAAAATTAAATAGTAAAAATTGGAGCATAGTATCCCTTTTCTCATAAATTATATATCTATAACTCCAAATTCTTTCCTATTTCCTTCAGTGATAAAACATTGAAAATTTTATTCGATAGACAATAAAAGCTATGATAGCCTAAAATAAAAGCATTTTTAAATTTCTTAGTTAGGAGAGGTAGAGAATCAGATTAGGTCTAAAAATAGCACGCTTGTTATAAATTAAACTTGCTAATGCATGGTAACACTTTTCTGTCACATCTCTCTTACTCAGCCTTTGTTTCCAGGGAAAATAAAGTGATACCTAGTGTTTAGCAATGACCTAAAGCAATGGTTCTTAACCTAATTTGTGGAGGCAAGGATCTTGGCACTCTTCTGTGAATCTAGGAGAGCTAGCAACACTTTCTTTAGAAAAGGGAACATATGGATGGATACAAAAATGCCTCCATGCAATTTCAGGGGGTTCACGGATCCTTGAAGCCTATATGAATATCTTGATAAATGGACCTCAAAATCCCCACCCTAAATTATAATATTTTGATGCATCTGTAAAAACTATCAATTTGTTTTTTGTACAGCTCATGGAGTCAAGTTCTAGGATGGGTTTTTAAAGAAAATTCTATGTCCAGGGGAACTATGTCAGGTCACTGCTACCAGTTATATTGATAGTGCTTTACCTGGAAGGTTTAGCCAGTCAGGATGTATCTCCTCCCTCCCTCTTTTCCTTGTTTTTCTTTGATTTTTCTGTTCAAACTGTCTTTGCTAAATTATATTTTGGACATAGGATATTCTAAAAATCTCTAGGAAAAATTCACAAATTTATAAGTTAGAATCTGTGGGATGTGAATTTTTAGTAAGCAAAGAGATTTGTAAAATACCAAGAACAATATATTTTTATTAGCACAAAGAAAACATTTTGAGAATCCCCTGCATATGTAGCAGGACTAATATAGCTCACTGCCATTTTCTTTATGCTGTTAAAAAAATTAATATAATTTCCTTTTGACAAGATCCTCACAAATTCTGTCTTGCTCAGCTAAACTTATAGACGAATTCAACTCCCACATCTGAAAAAATGTGATTTAGATTGACATTTTAAGAAATATGTATTATTCAGGAAAAAAGTTGATCCCTAAGGGAGTGTGTGTGTGTGTGTGTGTGTGTGTAAATTCTTGTTTATTTTTTGGGGGGAGTTGATTTGGGGGAAAAGTAGATTAGTTCCTTACTTGATTGCAGTCATTTTTCATCTTCTTCTATAACCAAAGTCTTGCAGAAGTTCTTAGAAATTCTATTAGAATTTAATTTTAGAACAATCTTTAAGTTGCTTTAAGCAAAAAGAGGCAAGAGGCTTGCCATGCTCTTCAGCTTTTACAATTTTGGAACTAGAAACATCATAGCACACAAAAACGTGAGTTTGGATAATGGATTCAGCAGCTGCATTCTACAGGATTCCGGGTTGACCAAAGGCTTTCTAATTACACATGGAGCCCTAGTTCTTTGTGTAAGATAACCTCTTAGACTTTGGTCACACTTCATTCTGACTGCTATGCAATTCATCCAGCATTCCCAATAAAGTGAAAAGTTTCTGTGTTGGATTAAACAAAGACTGGGCTGGGCATTGTGAGGGAGATAGGTGGCAGGAGCAGAAGAATGTCTTACCATTCCAAACAGCTTTGTTTTTTAAAGCATTTCTCTCTCTTCTGACATGAAATCATATCTATGATCAGTTCAGGCATTTGTGAAAACATTGGGTATGTTGCAGTAAAATGCCTCAATAGCTGAGAATTTTATTCAAACCAGTGCTTTGGTTTTATGTGAAGATCACCATATATGATCTAAAGTGCTTATAGGGATCATTTATCTGTGGTTGGAAAATGGTTCCTATTTTACAGGAGATGCAGCATAGGAAATTATTTTTAAGTCTTAATGCCCACAGGCCACAGATCATGATTATTATAGTACAGGTCATTCAGAAAGGGTGGTTCCCACTTTGTGTGAGATGACCTCCTGAAGACCTTGCCTAATTCAGGACTGTGTCGATGGTAGAAAGCTATTTCTATTTACCAGCTAAAGTCTTGTAGCAATAATAGGAACTCAGTTAATTATTGGTGCTGCCATCTCTGGGATTATGTGATTCTTAGTTTTTAAAAAGTTTGTGTGAAAAATTCATGTTTCAAAACAATAGGTATTGTGAAACTTAGTCAATGTTTTACTTTATACAGCTTTGCTTACGTGATTATAATTTTCATAACATTAAAAATCATTGAACAAGTGCTCTTCATCTAACCTCTTCCTCAAAAAGCACTGTCTTTGATTCAATGGTTGAGTCTACCAACAGAAACATGGTCACCAACTTCTATATTTAGTTTATATAATGGGGCCAAAACAACTAAGTAAACCCCTAAGATACTA